AGTACAGAAGTGTCTTGTCCTTTGACAGCAATAGATAACTAACCTCATTTTGTAAAAGCAGAACTAAACAGAAGAGTTATTCTTTGTCTTCAGCAGAAGCAGTGAATCAGACCTCATTGCCTTGTACTAAACCTAATTTAAGGCAATTTGATGCCTTATGCCTAATCATCAAGAAGCTTAGTTGTAACTCTTGGGTTTTTTTGGCTCTTTACCTGGCATTTCTTTATGCAACACAGCACCAGAAGGTTTTATATCTAAAAGGAATAGGACAGGTCATATTTTCTGAAGCTGTACTTTCAGCCCTCCTGCATCCTTACCCATCCATTATGATTCAGGTAATTTTTTTGTGTTTTTTGGCAGTAAGGATTAAAGATGTAATTGCTTTTAAAGCAGATATTTTCAATTCTTCTAAGCCACATAACCTGGGGCTTTATAAGAACACTTCCGTGCCTCAGCCTTCATCTAGCCAGTGTTAACCAATTAAAAAAATTAATATGCAATCAGACAATAACCCTATTTACTAAAGCTTCCTTCTCCCCCCACCCTGATTTTAGGTCTCACAAGATACTGACAGACTAAATCAAAACCAACTAACAGAAGAATTTCAGATTCAGAGAGGTATTTGGTTACAATGCCATAAAAATGGTAATCTCTCCGTGCCTCTGTCTAGACTGAGCAACCTTTGTGTAGGCAGGCATTACACAGTGTCAGTCACTTCCCTGTCCTGTGATGATCTGAAGAAAGTGGATGGTGACTTGATGCACACCACAAAAACCACTTGGTGTGATTTTGCTTAAAAGTAGGTATGACAAATCAAAGCAACTCAGGACAAAATGCCTGTGTTGTACTGAGCTGGAAAGTAAAAAATCTGTAAAAAACAGTGTTTCTCAGGCAAAAATAAAGTGAAACATTACTTGAGAAATGTTATGGTAATTTAAATAAACAAAAGCTTCGGTGTTACAATCTACCATACCATTTTTGTAATTAAATGAGGAGTACTTCACACTTTCATGCAACATTAAGATGACTATGAAAACCAAAAGCTTACCTCTCCACACATTCATATAGTGTTACTCTGGTTCACTGACTCAGTGGAATAACGTCTGATTTACAGTAAGGAAAGCAAAAAAAGAAACAGACCTGGCGAATGGAAATAAACCTGAGGTTTCTGAAGAAACACAGTCCTCAGCATGAGATGCAAAAGGTGACTTTCCTGACAAGTGCTACCCAAATTCTTAATAGCTTTCTGTATGTAACCCCATCTCATTTCATCCTGACATAATCTTAATTAGTCTTCATTTTACTGCAGAGAAACCTACTGAGGCAGTTAGCACCATGTAATTAATCAGATATTTTGCACGCATCACAGCAACCAACAGTGTCAACTTCCTGATATGAGTTAATACAAATAGAAACCAACCTTGCCTTTCTCTTTCACATGAACTAAAAGCATGTGGCATGGAATGAACATGTGACTATTTCCTCTATACACTGCTTATGTGTGTCCTTCCCTCAGCAGCCATTTCCTAATGCATCATTATTCTCTGCAAAGTATAATTTATTTTTTCTGCTGGTAGTAGGAGAAGAACAAGCAATTTGGTATTTCCCTTAAATTTCTGTTTCTTCAGAGAAAAGTAAGTCCAGCAACTGAAATAAAAAATGATAAGACATAATTCTTGCTGCTGGAATTCATAAACCTCCCATTTTATCTTTCTTTCTGTGTGCTTTAGCAGTTCTTAAGAAACTGAATTTTGCACCTGCACATAAATATACATTTGAGAGCATAATCTGCAACAGCCATCTCATAGCAACAGAAAATAAAGTACTTAAAAATACGAACTTATACAACATACACACTAACTCACTGGATCAAAAGCTTCACCACCTATCTATGTAATTGTAGACCTTAACTTTATTCTATTGTTTAAGACTTCGTTTTTGTCTGCATTGCAGGAGGCAAGCATCGCAGCATTGTGCCTGATGTCACTGAGTGGGAAACCATATGATTATATGATTTGATGGCAAAGAAGAAAAGAGCCACTGCTTAAGGAAAACAGTTTTATAAAACTGATTCTCCAGTCTCCTAAGCTTAAACTGAAATAGTTCAATAAGCAGTAAAAAACCACCAGGTTTATTCAGTTCTGTATGGCATCTGTAATATGCTGCAGTTTTTATTAATTGCGAATACACATCAGTGTTTTGCTTCAGCAAAACACTTTAAAACTGCAAGAACAATTTAGTCCATAACTAATATTCAACATAAAAAGGAGTAGTCTAATGTTTTGTGATTTCTCGGGTTCTTAGAACAAACCAGTGAGATAGTAACATTCACAGAAAGGCAGTATTTAAATGATAGTTTATCCCAGGAACTGACAGCAAACTGTTTAACACCTTCTCTCTACAGTGTTTGTGCCCCAAAGCATCTAAGACAGGAATTACTAAAAACTGTGACATCAAATAGTTTCATTTCCAGTGGTATCTCAGCACAGGAACATGCACACCCTATTCAGTACCTGACACAAGGAGACATTCACTATTATTACTGTTCAAATTCTGGAGATATTTTTTGTATTTGAAGGCCTAACTCCAAGAAACAAGGCAGCCTACTGGAACTGGCAAATGTTTCAGGTGCTGTCATCCATGACTACTGCTCATCAAAGATATCTAATGCCTATTTCTCAGGATCTAATTGCCCTGCGTCTCCCTCCTGTCTGAATCTTCTCAATTTATTTTAATGCTGGAAGCATGCAACAATTACAGCTATGATAAGACTGCTTAACTATGATAAGACTGCTAACCAAGTTTGCTTTAACCTAAGTAGATCAGCAGTAGCTGAAGATAATTAACTGTTCCTTTGTGTTCCTGTTTTAGTGGATGGCAAATACATTACCAAACAACAGCAATGTGGATGTATGTATGGGAAGGACAGCTAAGGTGTGGTAAATTTATTCCAAACAAATCCATCAAGCTACCTATATGCACTGATACCTCTTCTACCCTAAAGACATTGCTGTCCTTTACCTTTTAATCCTGTATTTTATTAAAGCTGTATTTTATAATCCCACAGTCTCCTGTGCCATCACCTAATTCAGATTTTGCTCTCTGACATTTAGGCTGAATGTTTGACCTAATATACAGCTAGCGTAACACACATGTGAGCCACAGTAGGTTCACAACATGACTTTGAATAGTAACTCTAAGATTATGAGTAGGATGCGAGTAGACAGTCATGACAACGGGCAGAAGGCAACAGAGGTAAATGTTACTGGGGCTAATTTTGACAACAAGAGCTATGTTTTAACCTGGAATTAAAATCTTAGTGTGAACAAGGCAAAATGAAGCTTAAGCACAACCTAAACTGTTCCAAAGGGATTAGTCATCATAATAAACTCATGATTAGAATGTGCCTACCTGAAGATTGTACACACTAAGAACTGTAGAAAAATGCTAGTATGAAGCCGCAAGTCTTCCCTCGTGACTTCTGTTACTATCTCAGTTAGACTGATAGTTGTATCATGTAGGAAAGTTCTAGAGAAACTGCTAGTGTTTTGGATGATTCTTCCAGTTCAAAGTGCCAAATTTCTTATTAGGCATGATATTGAATGACAGATGCATTGCTACCCAAAGCAAACTTTAGTAGCCTTGACCACGTTAAGTATCATCAGTCCTGGAACATATGACATTTTACTTTACCACATGCTGTAAGTTTATCACATTTGACCACATCAAACCATTCTTACAGAGACAAACAACATATTCACAGGAGCTTTCATTTAAAAGTGGATTAAACCAGAAATACACGTTTGGCTAGTGATTTTAAAAGATGTAGAAACTAATGACATTCTTTACTTCTCCAGACTGTCCTACTTGATGTCACAGCTAGTGTTTTTCAACTGTAGAAATACTTAACACCTTGAAATCATTCTGAGCTCTTGTCATGTACAACCAGATTGAAAATCTCTAACTTTAACATAGGCTATGTCCTTAGTTGGGTGAAAGGTACAGCCACTGAAGACTTGATCTTTATCAATATGCAGTAGCCTAGGGTATCAGAACTTTGTAATGGAATAGAATGTAAGCTTCTTTGGCTCTATCCACACCCCCTGGGTCTGAAGAAAGTCTTGGAGTTGTTAATCATAAAGCTGGTGAGAAAGGCAGTGGCACATCTATCTAATGCAAAAAATGCTACCTAGGTGAAACCTGTAACCAAGCAAATTCTGTACACTGATAGGCAGCAACAGATGCTCCACAGAAATAGGCAAGATTCCTCACAAAAAAAATGCTTTCTGATGCTTAGATCTCTTTTTGACAGGATTTGCTACCTTTGGGGCTTCTTCATTGTTAAGTATTGGCTTAAATATGAAAACACTGGGCTTAATATCTTTTCATTGAGTAAAAGATATCTCTGGTAATTCTTGTAATGTAATGAATTCACCTTTGGGTATCTATGTGGCATATCTAGAGCATCTTTTCTCCAGCAGAACCCTGAAGCATCCTATGCATTATATTCTTAGACCATTATTGATGCCTAGACACCTCCAGAGTATATGTTAGCATGGAGTGTCTTTGTCCAATGACAGCAGAAACGTGCATTTATGTAAAGTGGCGTGGGATTTGCAATGTCACGCACAGCAGAAGGTCTTGTTTAACAGCCTACTTCATAGTGCCAACTTTGTTTATTGTGCAAGAACTCAAAAACCCTGGCAAGTGTTGAATCTGCGGCTCCATGGAAACCAGGTATTCCGAATTGAATGTTTATACTGCTAACACTATCCTCCAGACAATCTCTTTACAAATGATCAGTAATATAAGGATGCCTTATTTTCATTTATCCGTTCATTTTAGTTTCTCCAGAATAATATTGCTTTCTAGGACCATCAGAATATGCTACCTGCATCCAAAAGAAAATTGGGTTGGCCTGCACATACTGTTTCTAGTAATACTTATAGCAGGCAATGAAATAAAAAAAAAAAAAAATCAGTTTAAATGATGGTACTTACCCCGTTCTGTATCATAGAGGTACACAAACTTTTCCCACTTATAATGAGTCAAGAGACTCAAAATGGCTCCTTTTAATGCTGGCCGCATCTGGATGACAAACTGCACATCTGCATCCGTTGGGAAGCTGGGTGTGATGAAGGATGTGTGAAGTGCCCCACAAAATGACGTCAGTGTGTTCATTGACATCTGGTCATAGAATCCAAAGATGGCATAAACTCCTCTGGAAAACTGTGAACAGACTAACAAAGACAGCGGTGTTAAAATCTGACGTATAATGAACCCCTCAAAACTTTTTGAAGTATATTTGAAACAAGCTATCTAAGAACTCCTGAAATTATTCTGTATCATGCAGCAGATGGAATGAATTAATGAGATAACATATACTAATTTCATTGTAATGTGAGTTTTACCAACTTTGTCACTATTAAGCTGGTCTGAGCACATTTTTGATTGCAATTTGTCCTGCTGTACTGTTATAATCCACTAATCTATCCATATTGTTTAGAACACAGGGTTACATTGCTTGGCCATAAAATGCCCTCCCTCCCTTGAGCAGCATCTTGAGAACTCTTTTCATAGCTATGTAACAAATGTTGGGTGTGCCTAAAAGTCAAGATGTTAAGATGTAGTTTCCCCTGCTATCCCAACTTGATTCAGATCTTGCTCAAAGAAAGCTGTATTGTTAATTCCTTTATAATCGACAACTCTGAAATGTCTGTATGAAACCTCTGTATGGTCTTTTTCAGTAAGAAATTATGGTGGTTTCTTAACTGAGTGTTAAAATCTTTCAGAAGCAATTTGGAAAATGCATGGCTCATTAATGAGCTCTAAACACAAACAAGGAACATGTACTGTTGCTTCATGGGACAAAAACTGAAATCCCTTAACATGGAGGTTTTTAGTCATTAACCATTCTGGTGTTCTGAAGAACTCATCCAGTACCAGAAAATAATAAAATGCTGTCAAGCTATTTTGTTTCACATGCACTTATCTGGGCAAACATTTCATTTTCCATACTTATAGAGATGAACAATGACCGTTTTGGACAAAAATGTAAGTATTTCAATTTATAAACATGGTCAAATTCATGGAAATTGCCGGGAAAACAGTTTCTTTGTTGTTTCACTCTGCAGAAACAGCAAATTCCTTAAGATCATGGGTTCTTTCCATGGAGGGAGACTGTATCAGGGATAGTGAGGGAGCCTGATATGTGAGATGCTGGGGCTCTGGTCTATTTGTACAATAGAGATTGGACAACTGATATATATATACAGCATAGCAGCACTTCTGAACCAAAACATTTCTGGACTGAGATGAGCAATCTCCCTTTGTAATGAAAATAAGTTTCCCAGAAAATTGTCCATTCAGCATTAACAATTTCACTTGTCAAGAACCGGACTGAAAAATTTTCAACCAGCCCCATTAACCACTTTTGCCAAAACACTGCATATTTAACTTTGCAAAAAGCAAGGGGAAGTAATCACCAGTAAAGAAGACTTGACTTTTATGCAGAAATATACAGCATCGTTACTTCTGAAAGTATCATCATGAAACATTTACTACCATAAATGCTACCATTCAGAATCACTAAAGCCTATTAAAGTAATTTTAAATAGGATTCTCCAAAATATCAGCTCATTGACAACATCATAGGTAACGTCTCAAATAGGAAGTCAGGTGTGAAAATGCGATTTCTTCCTGGAGATCCAGATGCAAAAACCAGAAATGCTATTAAGGAATTTCTTTAAGTGTTCAAGCCACTGCAAGTGGACATAACAAGTCGTGGATACTAGCAGCAAATAACAGCTGGTGTAGACAGAAGAGATGCACATGAGGCACAGAGAGGGAATAAGAAGTAGTGGTTTCCGAATGAAAAGTCTGTGGAAGTTCTCAATCACAGGAGAGAAAAGATACAAAAAAAAATCATAACGCACCAAGAATTTATTCCCAGCGGCACGACTGAGGAATTAAGTACACCATTTCAAAAGGTATTTTGTTAAACTACATACCAGCAGGATATAAAGCAGAAAAGCTATCATAAAAATTATCTGCTGAAGTAACAAATAAAAGGCATTAACTTACAGGTGAAAAAAAGCGAAAAAGTAAAGACTACATTAGAAAACCTGGCAGCCTCCAAATCATTTCGAAGGCATGTAAACTCCCTAATTCCATGGGAATATTCACTGAAGTGGGGCCAGCAGAGCTGGGTGTCCCCACATACACTTAGTACCTCACAAATCACGCTTCTTTTACATATTTATTAATGGCCTAGTTCACTAGGTTTTTGTGTAGATTCTGTACTGCAGAGAAGAAGAGCAAGCATTCCAGGAAACAGCTCTTCTTGCAATGCAAACAAAACATATTCCCAAATGCCTCCTGACCCTAAAAACCCAAAGTATTTCAAACGATCCTGGGTTTGCCCATTATTTCTTATTGGTATAAGGCTCAGGGATACTTTTGAACTGTGACTCCACTGAAATCTCCCAGATTTACAGGGACACATTATCTGAAAAAAGCCAGAAGGGGGCTCAGGAAGTCTACCATGCTATGTATAGCATGGTAGCACTATGACGAAGAACGGAAATTAGGTCTTATTAGGACTGCTAGTTCCTACATCCCCCATACAGTCAGCAGAGAGAACAGGAACAGTACTAAAGGTAAGCGACAGTGGCTGGCTCCAGCATGGACCTGTTCCTCTACACTGTGCTGACAACCCGCTGAGAACCGTTTCAGTTTGTGCTCTTCCTTGTTCTCAAGAGATATGGAACCCAGGCACTGTGGTCAACAGTTTGAAAATGCTGCAAGGTCTTTGTCCTTTGGACAAAATTCTGTCTTGCGTGGCTATTTCAAAACACTGAATTAAGCTGTACCTATTTTCATTGCAGATTGTGCTCTTTTATGCAAAGAGTCCATTCTCACTTTCTGAATCTCCCCTTCCCCCAAAAAAACCAAACCCAAACAAACCAAACTCCAAAACCAATCAGAGTCTGTGAACAACCTGACCAGAAGCAGGACCTTCACCAGACAATACCTGACAGCCAATACAGAGCTGCTGCTTACATGGAGCATCCTAGTGCAGGTGAGAGTGTGTGATTTGGCCTTTCTGATATTTGCAACCTTTTTCTTTCCTAAAAATCCTGAAGGATTACCAGCAATGTCTTCTACCAAGTGCACCTCCCTGCCCAGTCTGATTTCCCCTTATTCACATTTGTATTCACTGGGGTGTGGATCTTCAAGATTTAACTCTTTTCCAGGCTGTCTTCTGTTAGTTTTGAAAACTCTTAATCCCTTAAACTCCTCTGCTTATTTCTTCTTGGTTATCTATTCTGCATGCACTGTTGGGTGCCAATTCCATTTTACTGGCCCTTTTTAAAGACAAACAAACTTTTGTTTTGATAAGGAGAAACTAAAAGGCCAATTATTTTGGTTCTCGATGTTCATTTGCATTTTTGAACTCACAGTTTTGTAGCTCTAGGTCTTTTGTTTAGTTTGTGACCTAATCTCCTGTGTGACCAGATGAACTTAATGAACATCCATGAATGCACGGCCATACTGTTACCTGTTTTCCAAAAACCAAACATGTAATTACAGTCATTTTAATGTCATTATTTTTCTAATATCACCAAGCCATAATCAAAATTTAAAACACGCTAACTAAACCCCACCTTTAAGCTCCTTTTTACAAACTACTTTCTATTGACAATCACAACAATCCTCAGGTTTGATTAAGAATTTTGGTATTTTTCCTTAATTAATCACAGTTGATTTGTTGTTTGTTTTTCCTTATTTGAACAATGCAGATGGTCAAACACACACTTTGGCTGCTAAAGAAGTGATTTGGACAAACCTTGATGCAACTCATTCCCCCAAAAAAAACAAAAAACAAAACAAAACAAAAAAAAAGGATGCTTTTTTTGCCTTTATGAAACTGTTCTTAATTACAGATACTAGTACCATGGATGCGCATCTGTTTCCGAGGACAGCACACAGGCAGGTTGCTTTATAACCTGATGTGTAAAAGTTGCAACCTCCACAAACAGGGTACAGAGCATCAGTAATCTAACAGGGGATCATGATGAGCTGTTATTTTAGCATTAGGTGCAAGGTGAGAATTTATTAATGGAGACTAAACACTGGGCTTGTTGTCAGAGTAAGTCAGCTGCCACACACCATCATTTTCAGGAGAGAAAGGGATGGTATGACAGAAGCCTGTGAATTCTCAAGCATGTCAAGAGAAGACAAGGAACTTTCAGGTCATGACAGACTGGTGTTTCATGTCAAGGAGGGAAAATGATGCTCAGAGTCAGTGATCACAGTGGGGAGCAGAAGTTACTTCAGAAAGAAGAAAAGATCTTGGTTTCTAAAGCCATCCTAAACACCAGTGTAACTCAACAAACACAGCCTCCTGTTTTGCTAGCAGTTCCATCTTCGCCCCAGTCAAATCAGGCCCACCACAGAAACATCTTAACATCTGCTAAGATTAACCAGATGTGATTTTTTTTCACTCAGGCTCCAGGCCAGAATCTCAAAAGATGCCCCATTTCACACAAGCTATTGTGTCTTTTTAAAAATCAAGTTTTGCTTTCTAATGGTATTTAGCTCTTCTACCCTTTAGTGACTGTGAGTATTCCTGACACAGTAAGGTTGTATAGGCTCTGGCATTTTTAATGTCTATTGCCTGGAAGCTAAAGTTAAAACTTCCCTGACACCCTTTTCCTTTTTTAATTGTTACTTCCAGTTTTTAGCATAAACAACTGGAGCATTACTAGGAACATTTACAAGTAGTTTTGGATTTTGCTTGTTTAAAGAAAAGACATATAAAGCCAACAAAAGAAATTTGGTAATGGGTGGATCTTAATACACTATTTCCACCAGATGATATCATAAAAAGCGACTTGTAAAAGTTGGCAGGATGCTCCCAAGTGTGCCACACAGGGCGCTTCTGCCCAGGGGTGTAACAGCCTCGTAGGGGTTGGAGGTTGCAATACCTCAAACACTATTCCTTCTTCATTACTGTTTGTATAGACAAGTAATTTCCCCTTTGTTCATATCATTTTCTCATAAAGTAGGCCTGACAAAATTAACCCATGTCAAAGGGGCACTGTGAGGCCTGCCTTACTGATAACCACATGGCTCTTTGGAATGAAAGGCACCTTAGGAGCACAATCACAGCTGGCATTAATGCTCATTGCTCATACCAGTTCCTCACTTTCATGTTCTGTGTTTCCCTCAGCTGTGA